ACATATAAAATTTGACGAATGCTAGTTAACTCACTCCGTTCGTAACATTTATAAAAATTTGCAATGCTACCATATACCATACACATACATACATATGCTATATGAATTAGTTACCTGAAAGGAGAAGAAGATGCGAAAACATGTTCGGCGAAACAGTTTTGTGATTTTAGTGATTTCAAGCTAGTCAAGCAATTTTGTAGAGAATTTTTCCATCGATTAAAGAGTGCTGCGTTCTTATCTTATTCAATTCTTGCTATTGCATGCTGACATGCATAACTAAATAATTCTTTATATTAGGTTAGGTTAGTTTTTAGTGTTGGGTAAACAAGAGTCGTAACAAAACAATTGTTCACTTTCTGCCCCACTTTGATTTCATTGTGTTGGGTTATACTTGTTGAAAAAATGTATTGGCAATTTTCACAACACTTTATGATAGTCTACGCAAAAGTATTTCCTTGTATATGCGAATGAAGGCAGACGTAGGCAATTCTCGCTTATTACTTCATTCCATGGAGTAGGGAATTTTTTAAAACACAATCTCTTCAACTTAACGATTAAATGTTTTTCAAGTGTTTCAATAAAATATAGCAACAGAAATAAAGCATAGAAGCTGTGAGTAATTTGCATTTCAGTCTAATTCCATTTCAGCTATAAAATTATGTCCTTACAGAGCTTGCTTACTTACTAGTCTATTACTAACAGTAACACTTTTAGAACATTTTCTTATACTGAATTAGTTTTGAATTTTTTTTCTAATTATTATCGCATTGACCGGAAGATAGTCTACGATGAAAACTTGAACGTTTTTTTCATAAAATCGGTCACTTGATGGACTCACTCACTCAATATCAATACAAAGTTATTCTTCTTTTACTTTATGCGGAAATGTTTTTACGCACGTAGAGAGAGAAGAAGATAGACATTATTGAAATTGCATATATATATATATATATATATATATATATGGAGCTTTTTCATTATATTTGAGGGCACTTTTATAGATTTTTCTTAAGAAATGCTTTTAAAAGGAAAATCACTCATACGTGTTGTGTTATCAAAATTGTTGGAAAGTCCCTCTCACGTAACGAGTAATAGGAATCAAATTTTGTCAAATTTAAGGTCTACTCATTACTTATAATTATATAACTTATAATTGTAGTGTCATTTGCTACATATTATGCATATATGTATGTACAAATATTGACATAGTTATTGACAGATGTACACAACGGCTCACGCGCGCACACAGTGCAGCCCAACATTCTTTAATAAAAATTAGAATTTAATATCAATTAAGAGACATACACGATACAATCCAATATATCATATATAACTTCTTCCTTGTTCAGTTTATGTATTCAAATCTTCAAAGTAATTGTTGAGCATTCGAATCGCATTTCAAGTCGCTCGGTTATATAGCTCGTTTATCGACTATTGATTGTTGTTTTTTTTTTGTGGATTATTTTACATGTTTATGTTTAGTGTCAAAACAAGATCCGTGTCTAGCTCGATTTTCTTATTCGTCGACGCATGCATACGAACCTAAATATTAGCATCGTATTATAATTTTGGTTTTTTATTTTTTTAATCATGCCAATAACAGATGGCCAAACGAATGGATATATATGATGATAATAATCTAAAATTCGTACACTGAACTTAGAGTAGCCTCCGATACGATATTGTGCATCGGATTATGTCCGATGTGCATATGTAGTTGAATAAAAAAAAAAAAAAAAAAAAAAAAATATTGTTTAAAAAGTTACTTTGTAGCCATACTCAGGTACCAAAATTTTTTTAATTTATTAAATTTTTTTTTTTTTTTCAGTTAGTCGCTGAGTAAGACAGCATTTTTTGTATCTTCCGGTACATTGCAATAGCACAGTATCCAGATACTCTGCATGAGAGTTGAAAGTATGAACACTATATGTACACACTTACATTACATTAATTCTGCCTGTTCTTTATGGAAATTTTGCTATAAGCTCGAGAAAAAAAAAAAAAAAAAATAAAAAATTTTAGGGAAAAACAACTTCTGTGCATTTAACTTCTGTTTTTTTTTTTTTTTCGTTTCGTTTTTTTTTTTTCTGTTTTTTTTTTTTTTTTTTTTTGTTTTGATATCAAAAGTTTTCGTATCGATAAAACATTCAGAATAAATTGGCATTACAATGATTAACTTTTTATGTTAATTTCAGCTCTTACAGCTATTAATTTCACATCATGCTAATTTTCTGTGCAACCAAACAATCGTGTAGTAAAAACACATCCGCATAGACAATCGTACAAATATTTAATTAGTTTTACACTTTTCAGTAACAGTGGTTGCTGACGGTGAATTGTAACTGCCACACCAACTTAATTTTCGTAATAGGCCTACCGTTGTTCTTGGTTGTATATTTACACGCATTTATAAAGGTGTGTGTGTGTGTGTGTATGTGTGCATTTGCTCTCTTTAGTATTTTTATTTCCTTTTACTCAATATTACTATTTTGTATAATTAAACAAAATTTTGTACATTGTAAATGCTTTCCAATTTAGTAATTGGCCAATTGTTACATAAAAGCATACACATACGCAGGCATATATTAAGGCACGCCAGCACACACCATCTGGATTCAGATATTCATGCACGCCCAACTTACAAATGAATAAAAAAAAAAAAAAAAAAAAAAAACCCAACCGCAAAAATCACTGTATACACATATGCGGTGAGGTAATGAAATTTTCCCTGGATTTCGATTAACGGACAAAACAATTGTGTTATTGTTATTGCTGTTTGTCTATCCCTCCCAACCGATCTCTGCATTCGGCTGGTCTCCTCATACATATGTGACTTTTATAACTAATTTTATATTGCATACAATAATGTAAAGTGTTTTCTTTTTTTTTTTTTCTTTTTTTTTTCTTTATGTTATATGTAATTATTTCCGCTCAGAGGTAAGTGTTAAAACTATTACAATTGTAAATACTGATTTAAGTAGAAGAAACTGTCTTCATACATATAATTATTCTCATTTAAAGATACATAGATAGAATTTCATTTTTTTAAAATAAATTTCGCAACTCATCAGTCGATGCGAAATGCGAAAAGAAAATAATCGAATGTTCAAAATATGTTTCAGTCCATAGCTTTCATTACCTTCTCATAGATATTTGGCTTTTTACATATATACATATATTTTTTGTTTTTGATAATTCAGCTTCAAAGTCTTCACTCTATCATACTAAAGAATCTGTTTTGGTTAACCCAATGCAAGCCGTTGGCATAACAATATTTGGAAGAAATAATTAAGGCTTACGAGTTTTTACATGGTATGAGAACGCATTTAAAAGAAACGCGTGCATAATTTTAGGAGCTCTTAAATAAACCAAATCATCATTTACTCTCGCTGTGAAGTTTTTTGTTACGTTCTAGATGAAATTGTCTTCAAAATTGTTCAATGTCTCCTTATATGCAGAAATTATTTCATGTAATGCTTGCAGTGGACGACGCCTGTTTATTTGCTATCGCTAAGATATGGGGGATTTGATGGGAAAATTTGGTTTGGTTTAACCTCTTATACAGTCTTGGATACTTTGAAAACAAAGAACATCACCCACAGATCATATCATAATCGTGGCATAATTCGTGCTTCAACAAGTTTTATAAATTATCTCCAGTTTGTTGTTTGTTTTGTTGGAAATCTTTGTTGAAAAGTAGACGTTTTAACATATTTGATGGGAACATTCTCTCTCTCTCTCTCTTAGTCTCTCCCTGTCTCTATCTATCTGTCTACCTATCTATCTATCTATCTATCCATCTATTTATCTATCTATCTATTTATCTATCTCTATCTTTATCTTTCTCTCTTTCTCTCTCTCTCTCTCTCTCTCTCTCTCTAATAATTGACTCCTTGGGCCGATAAACTTCATCCAGTCAATCTTCATTTCTTGATCAAAAGTAAAGATAACTTTTGTTTAGGAATTTTTCGAACAATGGATCGATCAAGGACCGTTGTGTCGTTGCGCCACGATCACCGCTGTATTGTACGGACTAAAATCGTTTTAGGGACTGTTATTGCTTGCACTCCGATGAACGTATGTTTTTAACGTGTGTCATCATTTTGCGTAATGACCAGCGCTTTTTCGCAAATTTAAATATTATTCTTTTATTTTAATACGTGCATGCAGGCGAGTGTGGTATGCACATTTTCTCCAATGTGGTTGCGGCGCGAATGATAGTTGAGAATATTTGCACGGCGATGATATGTTTTATGTAAAAATGTAGAACGACGTTATTTTCTCTGCAGTCATCGAGGCGGCAACAATTACAATTGCGTGTAATTATAACAATAAACACATCAACACATGCACATGTGAACTTAAGCAGAAGCATAAAACAAACAAGAGATGATTGCGTTCACACGAACACACTAATAGACAACTTGAATTGGCGAGTGTCAAACGGAAATGAACATTTGAGCTATGACATCCTAACATTTCCTTAATGAGTGCAATATACTGTAAAACAAAACGATAATTTTAACAGCCTTTAAAGACAAACTACTAAACATATACAGGCGTCCGACCGACATATTTGTATACCTATTTACATATATAGATATGTGATGGAAATTGAACGACTAGAATTTTCCCATCCCTAGGAGGAAAGGAGACGGAGAATCAAGTGGTTTATATATTATAAACATGACTTTGCATTGAATAGACGCGGGGCGAAAAAAAGAAAAAAGAAAAAAGAAAAAAAAAAAAAAGAAATTAATTTAAAAAACTAATTTTATTGGTTTAAATCCGTAAAGGAAATGAGCGATGTTAACTGGCTTGCTTAACAGAACATTTTTTCCCCTTCTTTCAATTATTCATCTAAGTAGTGTAAGGCAGCCATGCAGGCAATGCTAGGTATGCATTGTTGAATAATTAAAGTAATTTCTTTTGTTAAATACGTAAATAATGTGTGAATATTAAATTAGCAACAGCTAGACATAATTGTGAATATTACATACCGGACACCAGGAGTTCGCTGCTGCTATTAACCAAATTGTCCATAATTGGTTGAAATGTATAAAATGTTAATGTCTCCAAGTCATTGCTTTGTACATTAATCGAAAGTAAAGCAGGTGTGCCACGCAAAAGACCGTTGTCGAGCTTCTTCAATAGATTATTGCGCAAATTTAATGTTTTCAAATTGTTTAGACCGTCGAGAGCACGTTCGGAAATACGCTAAGGGGTAATAAGAAAATGAAAAAGAAAATACTTTTACAATAAAATCAATCAATCATTCTCTCACGAATAATTACAACTAATTACAAACATATTATTTATACAAGCATTAATTAATTTATTCATATGTTAAACGCTTCATTTTAGGACATTTTCTTAACACAATTCGGAAGATATGCAAATTATTTATGTACCACAACGTGGTCCCTCATTCTTCACATACCCACTTGTGCCAGTGCGCGTTCATTACAATCTAATTAACATATGACATGTCACACATACCGCTAGACTATAAATGTTCAAATCATTAAACCGTTAAATGCTTAAGAACAGAAAAAATTTGCCATAAAAGAAAACATCACATATATCATATATGAGAGAGCGAAGGAATGCGTACCTTCGCATTCACAATTTTGATTAATAATTTTTAGGCAACGCAACATGAATGCTTCATATCAACAACAACAATTAAATAAAATCTAAGCACACGTGCGTAAAAATTTTTCAATCGCAAGCATTTTGGAGAATTCCGCTATTGAACTTTCGGAAAATATCAGGTTTCTTATAATATACGCCAGCTTGGTTTAATTGCACACACCAATTATCCCTTCAACAAGCACTTTCCACGAAGAAATTCTAATTTAGAAATGAACTGTAGATTGCTGTGGTCACGATTAGAGATCAGTTGAACATTTTTTATTAACTTCAATAACACGAACGAACTGATGCAGCGTTAAATATGATGTCGACAAAGCCTCCTCCTAAAATGAGTATAGCATTTTTCTACCCGCCTAACGTATTAGAAAACTAAAAGATGGTCCTGTCATGTAGCAAAATCATTTTAGTCATGTTGCTCTGTCTCTACTTCTGTTTGTCGGATGCAACCTCGATTAGGATTGTAAAGCGTTCTTTCGAAAATATGTTTGATTTCGAATTTTATTCCTATCATACGCATTACATCAAGCAAGCTTGTATATGGGGGCTGAAAAATGCTCTTACATTACAAACGTATATTTATATACATTTAGGTTGTGTTAAAAGTTTTGGAATGTGAGCGAGCAAAAGTGGGGCAGTTCCCTCCGTCAGCAAGACTGCCTGAAAGTCGCTGAAAGATCAAACCGTAACATTTTAGCTCGTGGTGGTGGTGGTAATGTCCCCAAATCTTGAATGAGCTTGGCAGGCACTATGACATGCATCTCATGTTAAGAAAGTGTTTGCAGCTTTTGTGACTTTTCGGTTATCGAAAATAAAATTCAAGATTTCTTCATCTGTTCTGTTGTAACTATCTCTTATGCACGTTCATTGCGTCCATGCGGTCTTGTTTATAATCAATAAACCATTGATATATTTTCGTTTTGTAAGGGATAAGCTCAAATTATAGCTTTTCAAGCCAAGACTGAGTTTGAGCGGAATTTTTTCCCGTTAAAAGGCAGCATTTAATCAGCATTATTCCGCTAAAATCAATGTAGCTGGAGATTACATAATTTTACGACAAGAATCGTTTAACGATTGCCTCTTGCTAAAGTTAGCATAGATTTAGGCAATTTCCATATATCAATCCTGGGGATTATTGACCATTATGTTCATTTCAATGACTGCCTTTTGTATTCTCAAGTTAAGCCAATGCAAATTGCCTGACTCTACTCATATCACAAAGGGGAAAAAGTTGTTCATACTTTATTTATACAATTGTTTACTATTTCTTATTATTATTGGGCCTCGAATTTTCAATGGTCTCTTTTTCTTCAGATTTTCAACTAACAAATCATTGAATAATAGATTTATGGCACACTCGTTAGATAAAGCAGTTCTTTCTTTTTTTTTTCAAGTTTGCATATAAATGCTGACATACTTGCATATCTATGAGTGCGAGTGTAGAGAGATATTTGTGAAAACTTATAGCCCAGGCAGCAATATGAAGATGTTCAAATGCTTAGGCGTACGCTGTTATGCACAAGTGTGTAATATCGTGTATATATCTGGAAAAAGATTGCTTAATACTTAGACACACGTTAATAGATACAATATATAGAGATATGTACATTTAAATATATATATATATATATATATATATGCATATATATATATGTTTATGTGTATGAATGTTTTCTTCATCTCTGCTGCAGGGATACTTAGTAAAACTTTGTTGTGTAAACCGTACGTATACGTGAGAAAAAAGAAGTTAAAGAAAACTTTGCAGAAATCACAGCAGCAGCAGCAGCAGCAGCAGCAATATAAAAAAAAAAAACATATATCTATGTAAGTGTGTACCTACCACCTATTCATATAAAATCCCAACCCTGCAGACAAAGTTTAAAAAGTGAAACGTAAACTGGGCACCACGACCACAAGACGACATAGTCTTGACAAAATATGACACAAAGATAGCAACAAACTAAAGTTTAAATTACTCTGAAAAGAAATACAACATGTATACGTTCAACTGACATTACAAAGATAAGCATAAATCCTTGTTTGATATACTGGTACAAAAATATTGGGCGACTGGATTCTTTCTTTTCTTAGCAAAAAGAAGAACGCGAACGCTTTAACCTATAGAGCGGGAAAAAGGCGAAAAAGAAAAAAGAAGAAAATATTTTATATTGAAACCGTTCTGCTTTATTTTTTGTGTGAGTGTATGGAGGAGTAACTTTTCCTATAGTTTTATATAAATGTGTGTGTGTGTGTGTGTGTGTGTGTGTTTTTTTTTTTTTTTCTTTCTTCTTTTTGTCATAGGTTTATATCATTTTCAAAGAGTTGGTCGGTCGCTTTCTTCCTATTTTGTAGCAAGTGGTCGCGCATCCTGTCATAGGCAGTCATGCTGGCTGGCATTTCAATATATGTTTATAACCATACATACATGCCCGTGGACAGTCAAGCAGACAAACATTGCGGCATGAATCGTTATGAATATATTGCACATATGTATGTATGTATGTATGCATGTTTGTATGTATGTCAACTTCACATACAATAACATGCAACCCGCACACATTTTCATTTCTATTCTCGACTTCATACACTCAACGACTTAGTAGAGATTTTTCTGCCTTTCCTTTGATCCGGCACAGATGATCAACAAGAAAAGAGAGAAGAGATAAACAAAAAGAATAAAAATATGAAAAAAAAAAAAAAAACAGAAGAGAATTGTGCGGAAAAATATAGAACTTGTATGTCATTATTCTTAGCGCTTTTTAGATTTGTTTGTGTGCATTTATGTGTATAAAAGATTTGTTTAGAGAGGTTCAAGTATGTGTTTTTCTATATGTTAATGGGAGGCGCTTTATTCAGCATCGTTAGAAATAAAAAGTGCTAAAAGTATGAGCGTTGTTAAGTTAAAGCTCGCTTTTCTTTTCAAGCAGGATTCCTCCTGTAACGGCTATAATAGCAGCAATAACAACAATATATTTGCTTTTCCTGTTTATACGGATAGAAGCTATTAAAGTGAGATGTTTTAGCATCAAGGGGATATCACTCATTCAGCATAGCTTCAGTGACTCGTTCTACGCTTCACTAAGCACCCACTTTTACTGTCAGTTAATGCATTTAAATGTTATAGATAAGCGTAGGCTGATACTGCGGATATTCGCGGACGGTGAGAGCTCAAAAGCCCCCGCATTCAAATTCAAATTCAAATTCATATATAAAACTAATACCATGAAAGTCTACATTATATGCCGTTCCTATGTCGCATTAAAATTCCTTTGCGAATCGCGTTGAGGAGAACTTTCGGTTCATTGCCTTCTTAGCGGAAATTGCAGATTTTTTAATGCTTATGAAGAGGCGCTGATTATCGTAAAGTTATCCAAGCATCATTTCTAATAAGAAAGTCTTGATTTCTCGAAACTGTTTTGCAGAAAAATCAATTTTTCATTATCGTATGTGAACAATTTTTTTTTTTTTTTTTTTCATATTAAACGCAGACGAGTTTAACAGATTTTATAGACCATTTTCGTAAAAATTTTTTTTGGAATAATTGAACTCTTTTTGCTAAAATCGACGCTATTGGCTTTAAATTAATTTCTTTTTATTTGTTTTACGAAAGAATGCAATTATGAAGTTATACTTGCGAACTGAAGTCAGTCAGTTGAGAATTGTGATCCACTAAGAGGACATTTTATTAAAAAAAAAAAAAAAAAAAAAATGCTACTTTACGCTGCCAGTTGAAAGTGCACAACAATTTTTTTTCAATACAATTTATTAGTTTTTCATAAATAAATTTGATAAAATTAATAATAATTTTTTCATCCCATTGATCCCAATATTTGTTAAGTAAGGGAAACGACCGTACATTTTTTAGAGGAAACCCCTTTTTGATTGTCTTAATCCACGCTTTGAACCTTCTAGAATGTAAGGAAAAGATGTAACAACTAGAAAGAAATTATTTTTGAAATATCGCGACTCTTCGCGAAAAAATCTTCCTGGATAGTTACAGCCTTACAGTCTTTTGCCCTTCTAGAAAGTACTTTGTCCACTTAAGAGCTTCGAAACAACAATTGATTTATTAAGCTTCATCGAGACAACAGTTGAATAAATATGAAGCGATTCTAGCGAATCTAATCTTATCTAATCCACCGGCTATGCCATGAAGTTAGGAGGTTTTGATGAAGTTCTTGACAGTAGCTATGAACCGTGAAACTGGATTTCTATTTTTGACAGATGCAGCATAAGCGGCACTGTCTAGCGTAAAATCTTTGAGGAAAGGGAAAGAGACAGACTATTAGGACATAGAGAGGCAGTATAATGGCCCTTTCATATTTCAGGCTAATGAGAACAAGTAAGAAAATTATATTCAATTGCGGTCGAATCTTCTCACCGTTTATCGCCTTCACCGCTGGTGTATAAAATATTGAAAAAAAGAAAAACTATATATTTCTAGATTCAATAAAATTGGATGGGCGTAGCTGATTATTGATATGCGTGTACGATAATATTTTGAAAATGTATATTGTGTTTCTGTTGTTGTTTACGAGTAAAGAGCAAAAGATACAAGACGGTGAGCAAAGATGTTCTCAGTCTTGGCTGCGGAAGTGTGGACGCCGTTGGGCCTTTTTCATACTCTTTTGCAAATTTGTAGGTGATATCTTTTATTTTTTGCGAATGGGAGGAAGTGCAATACAGAAGCCACACGGGTGGGCAGACGGACAGATGGGTGGATATACAGACGGACAAATTGTGACACGGATCGACGGGTATGCTTAGGTGCATTTCTAATTTGGAACTGGCGAAGAACTTGTATACTGTACGAGGTTTCTGAAGCTTGCTTCTGCGTGTTATAAAGAGTATTGAAAGAGAAAGTTAAATTTTGGTTTACTATAACACCAGGTAGGTGCAGTCAATTTTTTCGATCTTCGTACAGGTATCACAGCGTCACCCACGGAATTTACGATATAAGAAAACAATATAAATAATGTTGTAATAAAAAAACCTATATATGAAAAATTTTTAAATTTTAAATTAACTTTTCTCGAAAGCCGGATTTTTGCAACCAGTCTCTAGCATAGCTGACACAAATAGCATTCATCTTTGGGAATTTTTGATAAGGTCATCAATGATAGAAAAGCATGGAATACTTCCGAAAGAGTTCATTTAATCAATTATATATTAGCGAAAGCTTGCCTTCTTAAAGTAAAAACTTGTATTTTCTTCATTCAAATATTGCCCAACAACACAAAAATCAGTATTTCCAAAGATAACTTAGTTCAAAATATGCCCGAAACGCTTTTCTCAACATACAAGTGAGAGAAAAATGAAATTTTGATATTTTGTAATATTTAATGAGCGTGACCGATTTATTCGATTTTCGTACAAGTACCAAATAATCATTCACAGAATATACGTAAAAATTTTAATCGTTAAATCGGTTGTAGTTTATAAGTAATAAGCAAAAGGCCAAACTTTTTAGGTATGGGACCAAAAGTGTTCTCACTTTATATTATACTGCAGACGTATCTTGTGATTTAGCCTTTTCTTCATAGGAACCGACATATAGAAATTTTTAACATATTTGTAAAGCAGACAGTAATACAGGGGGACAAGAATGTTGACGGACAGATGAATATGCTTGGAACGATTCAGATCAAGAATGTATTTAAGTTATAAGATCATCAGAAGCTTTCTTCTGTACGGTTAACGTACTCCCCCATACCTTTGTGGTAGACATCAGAGACAATTTTTAGGTAAGTCAAGTCAAAGTTCCCTTCACAATCACTGAACAGCCACACATGAATCAAGTCGTATTAATATATTTTCTATCATAAAATTATTAATACGTAATTTTCGATGCCATAAAGTTGGGCATGGAGGAGTGTTTTAATTACTATCAACTACTTACCTCAATACGGTTGTCATCCAATTCCAGTTCTGTTAAACTCCATAGCTCCGCAAATACCGTATCGCCAATAAAATTGATATTGTTGTGCGTCAACTTGAGAACGTTTAAGTTGCCAAGGCCCTTGAAAATTTCACTAGTTAAGACAGATATTTGATTATAGGCCAAATTCAAAAATATCAAGCGGCCTAAGTCCATAAAGAGGCCGTCATGTAAATTCGATATATTATTGTTGTTCAGGAATATTCTCTCGCATAGTGGTAAGTTGCGAAAAGCGTTACGATCAATTTCAAAGATTTGATTATGCTCCAAATTCAGGTCACGCAGACGTATATGGTTAGCAAAAGCCTCCTGATCCAAAGCTACTATCTGATTATTTGTCAATACAATACGTTCCATTTGAGGCAAGTTAGCAAAAGCGTAACTCTTAACAATTTCGACTTGCGAGTATTCAATGCTAATGCTTGTTAAATTTTGCAACGGTTCCAATATCATGGTGGGTATATAATCTAAACGTCCATGATTTTGTATAACAAATTTTAAATCACGTAAACGTCTTTGCTGATAAAATCTGGTCCAAGTAGTGTCATTTAATAACAAGCCATCAGAGAAAACCCAGCATTCAGCTTTTTGTACCGGAACGTGATTTTCATCGGGTGTGCAATAACACATTAGCTTCATGTCGCGACGTCTTGTACAAAAACCGGTAGTATCCATTGGACCATTAAAGGAGGTGGAATAAACAGACGAAGCGAAAGATGCCGAAGATATCCCCGTACCATAGACATTGTATTGATTTGTTAAGGTCGCAGAACCCGATGAAATGCGATCATTGCGTCTTCGGCCTTCTTTGTCGCGGGAACGGCCTTCTATAACAGCTGGTAAGCAGGCCAATATAATTACGGAAATAATAGGCAGGCGGGACATGACGCTGTATTTGGCTGGCGCTAACATCTTAGTGTTTGAATAGTGTTCTTTGGCTGAATGTATTATAAATTATAGTTTTCTGAAAAGAAATGTAAAACAAGTTGTTATTTTTTTAAATTCATTTAAATTGACCAGTGCAGTAGCTAAAACAATTCCAAATTCCCTACGCATAGATTCTGTGCGCCTTCAAAACCTCGTGTACATCTTACGAAACATCGAAGAATAGTAGACTTGCCGAGACAACGGCATCTATAATCAAATATTGTAATGTATGGCAAGAGCATAAATATGAAACCGGATTTTGCCGACAGAAGGCCATATCTGTCAATACAGTGACGTCGCTTCCCTATCTGGACGTTACTTTTTTTTGTGAGCATCGAACAAAGGTTTTCAACGCTCCACTGAGAAAAACTACGTTTAAGTTGAAAAAAAAAAAAAACGCGATTCTGCATTGTAACCTAATTTTGTCCTAAATATTTGTTGCTTCATATATACAAGGTAACTCATTGTGTGATTCCAAAAATTAACTGACTGAGATTTGAATGAAATATTTTTTGTTCGATATATTGCTTGGGCCCTGCTACTTCTTGCGAAGTATAATAACAATCAAGTGTTACCCATGGTGCATCTAACAAGAATTGAACTTTCGGTAACGGATGCTCGTTTGTCAAAGCGTGAAGAATTTAAGGATTGTTCGCATGAACTCGATCCGTTGGTTAACCCCCCCCCCAACAAAACGAAGTCTAATGGAAGAAATCGCACGAACCTGGTGGTCACATTCATATCTCGGAAATATGATACTACGCGCTCGGAAGAAATTCTCGCGCAACAATGCCAGAACGTGTTGTGTGAGTGATGGCAACACCCCACATATATTCAACATACATTTCTGCGAATTCGCGCTAAAATAATTTTTGCAGTCATACAACTGTAGTGATCACAATTAACTTTTTGGGAGTGGAAGCGAAAAACACCCCTTATCACTGCAGAGAAATGCCCGAACCGCACCTATATACAGAATTAACATTTTTGTAGTAAGTTTTTCGACACGTTCAGTGGTTGTTGATCGATCCTGATTGTGAAATGACAAACAATACACTAAACATACATATCTTACTGAGGCAAGGCTTGCAAATTCGGACTACGAAACCAATGACATCATATTAAACGGAATAGAACGACAAAACCATAGAAGATCCGATTTGTAAAGAAATCTAAGATTACATGAAAAACGGCTGAACTGGTGAGAGAGAGAAAGTGATGGCGGCGTTACACTTTCTTTTACCTTAAACGATAATTCTGGACGTGGATGTCGATTCCAAAAAGGATATGAAATAAAAAAGCAAGGCGTCGGGGTCTCATACATTACTGGATGGAAACGACGGAGCACAACAAACTCAATACCAAAATCAAAATACAAACAAAGGTGCAAGTGTGCACGTTAGAGGAGAAGAGGTAGGTAGTTCACGAAATTGAAATAAAAGTAGGAACAAACGTAGAACACACAGGTAACACAAAGACGCAGAATTGCTAAAGTGCCCGATCGATCGAACTTAATGTACATATACCACCAATTTACTATATGGTATTTTTATATATACAATGTAATTACATTTCGTCATTATTGTTAATGTTTTTCATTCGATTTTGATTACTGATTGATCATTTTATTATTGTCATAATTCTGAAATTATATTTTATTGGGCATGCCTTAAATTTGAATGGATTAGTTTAACGTTAACCAACTTATGCTGTAAATATACTTTTTTCAACTTGCGTGCAACACAAGAGTAGCAGTAGAGCAACACACCATTGCGAATCACCCGGGCAGAAGATAACAATGGACTTTATACTCTTTCATTGTTACCCCATTCCTTGTTCTCGTTGATTAATTGGATGCAGTTGCTAGTAAAAGGTGTGAATTATGTTGCTATTTTAAGGATAGGTTTCGCCCTTTGAGCCGTTTCAATACTTTTCAATTTAATTGCAGGCGCATTATCAAAGAGACAACACAAGTGAAAACTCAAAGAATGTGTTATGTATATAAATCTTTTTCTATCACTCATAGAATACTTACTGCAAGGCAAAGAGCATAAATGCGTGCGTTTTGCTAGCGGATACGAAGAGTTTAAGGCCAGATAAACCTTTTGAATATTGATGCCATTTTGACATTCTACATCTTTCAGCGATGGATAAGGTGTATGTTCGTTTTGTTAAAACGTTTGCAATATCCGGAGGGGGCAATAGCTTCAAATTAAACAAGTCCATCCGTCCGTCCATCCGTCTATTCGTCCATCCATCTGTCTGCTTGTGTCTAATGTCTAATGGAAGCATTTTCCTGCCCGTAAAAGTGGAAATATAGGCTTCAATTTAGGCGAAAAGTTGTAAAAGTTCTTGGTTGGAGATTGAACCAAATCGATCAAAGGACACAATTACGTAAATAGAGAATACCACTGTTTTCGAAAAGAAGGTGTTGTTCTCTGCTCATCACTCGCATACTACATCAGATAAACCTACGAAAATTTGAACATATATTTTATGGGTGATGCTTTAGTATCTGTGCAAAAACGAAAAAAAAAAAATGCCACGCCTACTTAATATAATTGAATATTAAAGTTTGATTTTTTTTTTGTCCAAATCACTGAAGCAAGCTTCAGAAACCCACTTATTTATGTATATTAACGAGCAGTGTCGCATTCAGAATGCATATGAGCATGTTCAGCTGTTCGTCTCTCCATCTGTCCGTGGATAGTGGTTGTGGTAAATATTCCATCGTTCGCAAAAATTTGCAAAAGAATTTGAAAATGGTCTACGCTCATCAGAGGACAGGTCTACAACGCCCACGCGCTTATGCATCAAAACGTCAGCACCCCATTTGCGCTCTGTGTTTTCTGCTCGCTACTCATAAACTACAACTTATACAGGATATAAATGCCAACTTTGATTGTAATGAAAACAATCAGACTCTGTTTAGTCCTGCTTCGAGTGACGTTGACGGGTATTAAAGATTCGATCACAACCGATAACAATATGCTTACTTGTTAAATTCTGCCGGAGAGGTGTATTCACAGTCAAATAAAATGTTACTAATAAAACCGTTGTATGTTGTTGTGTACAAATGAACAAGTTTTCTTAACCAGTAAAACATTTGCTTTCATTTCAATAACTATAATAACGTATTCATAAACGTGTGAGGGTTCTTGACGCTCTCTCCCTTCACGATTTTCTTTAAAGCCCACCTATGCTCTTATTACGTCAACAACAGCGCAAAGTCAACATACAAGTATTTCAGTGTGAATATATATAAAAGGACTAGAGCCTGAGTTTTAGGTTTATACTGCGGTGTTTTTTTACATTCGTTTTTCTTTTTTTTGGAGTATATATTGGCAAAACAACTAACAACAAAACTGTACACATTAAACTACGCGTATATGCACTCGAGTCTGTATGCTTTTGTTTTATAGCTTCTGCAATAATAATAATCTCACGTCTATTGCCAACGTCTACACACACATACACATACACACACACACACACACACACACACACGGATTCGATTCCGATTCTGTAGGGAGAAGATGTGTTTTTAGGGGCTCCGCTAGACCCTATCGATTTTATATAAAATAAATGGAAAAAGCGATCAACTATACATTCGGCAGAACTAAAAAAGTGTATAAAAACACGCGATATTTCGACAAGATGGAATCGTAATCGTGCCATACACATTATCATTATGAATTATTGAACCTTCCCGAAAATCAAAAAAAGTCGCTCTGTGTAGCATATTTTAGGGCGACCATCTCCTAAAACCCGCATTGGCAGATATGGAGCGTGCTATTGTGGCAACGTCAGAAATGGTAAAAGAAATAAAACTACAATAAAACAATCACAACAATACAAACAAATATAAATACACACTCACACACAAACAACAACATTAACAATACATATACAGGCTAGGGCATACAAGCATGTAACACATATAAATTTACATATACACACACACGAGTATATATATATATATATATATATATATACATTTATTTACATACACGCAGCACTGATGACACATAGCAATCGTAGTAATCGCAAAGTGCGTTGCGCAGGTGAAAACGAATGCTAACGAGGCAGTCGCAAGTTAGAACAGATGTGGCTAGAGCTACTGGAGAATAAAACAGAAGCCATGCTAATAAGTAGCTAAGAGTGTGTGTTGCATACGAGTCGCCCAACAAACTTTGCCGTCCCCATCTGCTGCCAAAGACTTCGGCATTATGCTAGAGCATACACTTCGCTTTAACCGCCGTGTGGAATACGCGGCCTTTGCAATATAGAAGAAGACGCTGAATATATGTTTGTGACTGTCCGAAGTATTAAAATGAATGACAGAGGCAACAGACGGAAATCGAAGATTCTTCTCCCAGGTAATCTTGGGGAAAAATGTCCTGCCCGACCTAAAAAAGTGTAAAGGCTTTTCGCTAGCGCCAAATCCGCCATCCTAACTATTAAAGTATATTTAAACGGTCGTGTTACAGGGTAGGGGAGAGAGTATAAGTGGTTTCTAGAAGATTAAAGACTCTTAAAAAAAAAAAAAAAAAAAAACACGCTCGGAAATACATAAATGCACGACTAAGCGCAGCTTATTGTGAGACTAAGGTGAAACGGATTGTGGTCGGTCTGCACGTACATCCGCGTATATTTGCAGGCTAGCTGCGAATAGCCAATAAGTAGTCACTCACGAAGAGTGGCGGCTGAAAAGGCAGCATAATCCTGCGAATTTTCGGCGACAACACGAGTAGGCGCCGTCTTTTGCGTAAATGCTCCCCAATTCCAATAAGCGAGTGGCAACGTGGGATGATAATCCACCAAAATAAGCCTGCCGTGAGAAAGATGGTATCCTCAATAGCGACAAGTTTAGATGTACGAGAGACGTGAGTTGCTTGACACATCGCCGTGGAAGTCGCACTACGTGAAAATGGCAGCTATGCACCGTCTTATCGTCATCAAATGATGGATGTCGGAAAAGGTTCACTGCCACTTATATATTTTAACTGCAAAAGGCTTAGCGATTTTACGAAT